TTCAAGGCCGAACCGATAAGAATTATTGTATGTAAACTTGGCCGTATCCCTTAGCTTTTATATTCAACCAAACATGTTTATATATATATATATATATATTTTATACATTTAAGGATATAATATTTCTGTACATATTTTTAATATTCGTTTGCCTAAAACAATACTTTGAACAATATGGTTCTTGAATAACAAAAAGCAGATGTAACTTAATATTTAGTCATAAAGTGTCCTACATAAAGAAAAAAAAAACAAAAAACAAATTTAAAAATATACATAATAATATAATAAAAATACTGTTGTATTCTTTATTCTTAGTAGACAACAGATTTATTTTTTTAATAGTATTATATATTATTAGTTTCTTCTAATTTAATTTTGTAAAGAGCTGTTTTTACAAATATATAGATAATAAACTTTGACGTTTCTTTCTCCCTATTTCGAGTTTTACTTAATAAATGAAAATTTATTCGGCATTCGATATTTTCTTAATATACTATTGATTATGAATTATGATTATGAATTAAAAGAAATAGAGGTATAAATTCTAAATATATCTTATTTAAAAAGTTTAATTCTAAATTGAGCATATTAATTTTAGTATAATAGAATCATATAGGGAAGGGAAAAAGAAATTTAATAAAACTAAACAAAGGGAAACTGACAAATGATACGAAGAGGATGTTACTTCATTATAAAAGGCGACGTAGGACTTAAGAGGGATATTCAGTATAAGAGTTGTTTGTGATCATTTAATATATTCGATAATATTAAAAGATGTCACAATATAAGTTACTCATAGAAGTAAAGTACATAGAAATCAGAACCACAGTGTTATTTTTAGTTTTTATTATTCATAAGAGCATATTCTGTACTAAGCCCCGTTCAGATTTCATATTGTGTTTGCAAATTTAATCCTCGTATCGTATTATATAAGTTTATTTATTAATTTTAATATTCCGATGATAATTTTGACTAATTAACAGGTCAATTAATTTTCCTAATGAATAATCAAACTGACGGTAGATTATGGTCTCATATTTTTATAGAAAATAATGTTTCGTATATTTATTTCTGGAATGTAATAAAAGCGACTACAAAAAAAAAACTACATTATAAAATATATTACTCAATTAATTAAATAAAGGATAAATAATATATGCAGATATTGATTCCTCTTTCTCGCAAAATGAATTTCTCCGTGGCATAATACAATTAATAATTAATGTATTCGTTCATAAGGAAAAAAGTAAAAATATGATAAAACGTTATATACATTTTGTTACAAAAATTTGATATTCGAAATGAAATATTTTGTTTTTATATTAATTGGTTATTCTATTATTTATGAGAAAATATTAATTTATAAAATTGGTGTGTGAACAAATATTGTTTATTAGCAGTTACTGAAGGCAAGTGTATTGTAAAATATAATTGCTATTGTAAATCTGTAGTATATTGCGATACAGAATGTTTTTTCGTAATCAAATATTTCCTTTAATTTATAAAAAGAAAAATTAACTATATAAATGGTGAATAGAAACTCCTTGATCAAACCCCATAACTTAACAAATAAATATATTTAAAAAATACGTATTGAATGACTATTATATTTTCGTTTGCTATTTATCCCAGGCATTTATTTCATTAAATACGCAATTTTATTAACTAAGGTTGCGCCATATTAACTTATTAAATTAAAGAGTATATTATTTAAATTCGCTTGAAAATATTATGAATAAATACAATGCCATGGCAATAAAAACAAAGCAACAATTTGAGAGTTGAATATTAGTTATATGAGAATAGAGAGTATTAATGATCTTAGATGAACTTTTTAATTTAAATAGAAATAATATGAAAAGTACAATACTTTACTAGTTCAATGCATTAAATAAGTCGTGTTTAGGGAGTAGTGACGGTTATATTATTCAAACGTGTGTGCATTAAGTTTCACATAATTTAAAAAGTTCTTATCAAAAATTAATGAATTCCACAATATTATTTATATGATACACGACGGCTTCGCGACAAATAAGCGACTCTATAGTTGATAATAATCAAGACGGTTTTTAGCTGTGAAGGTGAATTTCTCTCAAGGCGCTTACCTTGGGAGGAGACGACGCGTGAGCGTACGAGGTCGATCTTATTGCCGACGAGGATGATGGGTCTGCTCCTGATGTCCTGCTCGTACAGTCGCGAGAGTAAATCCTCGGCGCGCTGGAATGACGCCTTATCTATCACCGAGTACAAGACAACGTAAGCGTGAGTCTGTGGGATTTTTTCCAATTCCTGAAACAATTGCGAAAGGACGAATGCTATATTGCTGTTTCGATTGACATTAGCCTAACAGCTTATAATTAGTAATATATTGAATAACTGAATTGTATTTCAACTGGTGATGATATCCTTAGAAGCTGGAATTCCATTGCTCATTCTCATGCGAAATTCATAAGATTTGCCAAATGGCATTTAAGTTAATATTTTATATGGAAGCATAAAACGAATTCGCACACGTTCAAATATACTAATAATTTCAGAAGCATCTAATGTATAAACTGAAAGTACGCGTATCTTTTATTTATAAAGAAATTTTATTATCTATATTTTGTAAAGTACATTATACGTCTAATAAAAAATTGCAACCATCCAAGTACTGCGTAAGCAATTCATTTTTTCAATTAAATTAAAACCATGCATTTATCATAAAGTTATTATAATTTATTATTTATTATTATGTATTATTATATTTATTTATTTTTCATTAAATTATGCTACTATTATTTATTTATTTTTTAACATTGTGTATAATGTATACGTCATTTATTTAATATTTTTTTTCTATATAATTAACTTGTAATGAATAGAATTATCTTTTAAGCAGACTCATAGTGATTTTTCAAATTCACCATAAAGAATTATTATTATCCAGTAATTATTTTAACCATATATTTTATATTAAATGTTCTTTACTCGTTAGTGTGCCTGTTATTTTATCATGAATAATACAAGAATAGCATTAGTTTAATTAGTTTTAAATTAACATCTGTTCCTGTGCTTTTATGATGATTTTTAGTTAACCTACTTCTTCGGAATTTTACTAGAAACTTTCATCCGTAGTTTTGGGCATAGATTTGATGTCTGAATGATGTTTCAACAACTCCTTCTCATTTCTAAGAAGTTTGTGAAGTTACTGTAAGTTACTATAGTAACGGTAATGTTTTCAAAGCACAAATGCGATTTGATAGATAATGTACATAATGATAAAAGATGAATGTATCTGTATTTTAAAGATTAATTATTTTCGAGTTTATCGAGTCAATTATTTTATGTGCTGGTAAATTAATTTGAATTATACTGAAAATTGGAGATAAACTGATTTTAAAACGTAATTGAAATTATATGTATAAAATATCGCTTTTTTTTTTTACCATCAAACCGTGAAAATGTCAAATATAATTGAAGACATTATTTATTGTTTGAAAGAATAACTAAATTTATAATAAACTGATTGTTCAAAGAATTTTGAAATGGAAAAATAATTATTGTTTTTTTTTAAATAATTTGAGAATTAAAAATAGTTGTAGTAAATTGTTAAATAACAATGACAATTTACATTTGTTTACAAGATTGTTCATACTTGAAACGAAGGGGAAACTTCTGTTTCGCTACTTATTCATGAATATTCTTAGATACTTCGAACTCCAAGTAAAAAGTATGTGGTGGTAAATATTTCTAACATACTTTAGACACTTATACTATTTAATACGATAGACATACTGAAAAGATTTATTATTTTACGTATAGTTATGTGCAATATTAATCGTATGAATTTCATATAAATTCTGTTAAATCATAAAATATTGCAGTTATTACTTTATAAAATGTTGTTTGAAGAAATTTAATATAAAATAATAAATGATTTTTAAAATAATTTAAAATCTACATTTAAAGTACGAATAATGTGAAGAAGATTAAATAAAAAAAATTATTATTCATTTCACTCATTGAAATTTGAATTATCAAATCCTTTAATTTATTATTAATAAATTAAATAACAAAATAATAAACATGATAATACATTTTGACAAGATTTTTAACGAAACCTCCACAATATAATTTATAGTATTGATCTTTGCTCTTTGATATTGTTTAGTACAAAATTTAAAATATTCTTTAAAATTGAATTTGCCCATAACGGATTATTTAGACTATAACAACTTTTGACCATCCTCGTATTACAATTATCACGTAGTATAGAATTGGACAACGTTGTATGTCGCAACCGATGCCGTAACTATTTATTTCATTATATATTTAATTATATAAATATTTTTTATTGAGTATATTTTGTATACATGTAAAACATTGACGAATTTTCGTTTTATTACTGAGCTCTGATACAGACTTTAGTTGAATAAATAGTAAAACTATTACTTTTAAATTAACTCTCATGCGTTTAGGATATTTACAAATAAAGTTTAATCCTCGGATCGGTTCATTAATCGGTAAAAAAAAATTCTAAAGTAACCATTTAACAAACATATTTATATTTTTTTACTATTAGCAATAATTATGTAATTCAATGGGAATAATATCAAAACTGCTATCAGCAAACAACAGGGAGGTGTAGAAAATATCTTAACTTTGCTGTGCTACTCGCGATAGTTCATTGAAAATAATCATTATAAGCGCTTATATTAAACACCTCTACTTAGCAAGTAATAATAACAGTATTGTTGATCTAGTAGACTGCAGCAAACAATAAACAAATCGAGCTTATCTTTGAAAGCGAGCAAACAAAGTATGATAAAGTTTATATAAAAAATTTCTGTGTATATATATATATATATATATATATATATATATATATATATATATATAATGAGCATACGAGAAAAAAAAATAAAAAATAAAAAATTTAATGAAATAAATAAACGGGCTTAAACGAATGATATAAAAGTTTAAATAAGATATATAAAGTTGTCGCAGGCATTTCTGATTGGAAGATGCAGCGACGGAAGCTTGTTTCGAGCGCGACACATTAAGGGCACACGTAGAATTCTGTTAATGCGAAAGGGGATTGACGCGACTGTCATAAAAACGGCAGCTGTCGGAGATGTTGCACCTCGAGCAGCGCGACGCACACTAGCTGATAAAGATAGTCGGGATAATGTGAGTGCGCCGGAAAAGCGACGAACATTAGCCGGTGAAATGGGCCGGCGGCTATTTAGAGTCCCGGTGAATCAGAGACAACGAATATTACGCATTGACGGACTTGCAATTTTACAAGTCCTCTCGACGCTAACGCTAACGCGATTGCTGGCTGATCCCTGGATTAATTAACTTCGCAGATTCTTCGGCATTGTAATTGCATTATTGCTAATTGTATTTGCCCTCCCGGCCCTGTCAATCGCTTAACTCATGGATGTCAATTACTGATAATGAACAGCTGTTACATGTTGAATGCACTTTGAGATTATCGGCCGTTAAGACACGCGATTTCTGTGGGCTCAAATATTTTTCTACCATAGAAACAGGAAAATTATTGATTTCAATTCAAATGACAAATGCTGTATTTTTTTTTTCTTTTTTCTTTTTTTTTTCTTTTTTTTTTCTTTTTTTTTTCTTTTTTTTTTTCATAAACATTATTCTGCGAGCGTAAGTGGAGTTGTGTAACAGTGTAGCCTGTAAGAGCTACATACCTCTATAGGGATTTGAAAATATTAATTATTTGATAATATTGCGTTGGCATTGCATTTGAAATGTTGCCAGTATAAATTAATTTTTACTTTTGACTGAACTAAATAATGTTAATGCTCGAAATCGGAAGCTCGCTATATCTAATAGTTATGTAAAAACTTAAAAATAATAATAGTAAATAATTTTCTATTGCCAATATGGGAAAGAAATAAAGTATTTTATCATCTGATTTTAATTTCGATCAAGTGTAACAAATATCAGCGGATCATATATTAAAATAACAAAATAATATGATCAAAAATAAAATATTGATTTTAATTCTATTATAAGAATAGATATTGAATTGTTTAAAACGAATATCAATTGAGCTTATTAAATTTTGAAAAATAAATGAATCGATAATACTATAAATAATATGTTAAACGTTAATAATATACCACTATAAATAAATTTCTTTATTCCATCACGATGTTCAATTATATAACAAATTTTCGTATGAATTAATACCTTACCCAAGATAAATATTTTTTTTTACATTTTATTAATTTTCCTGAATTAAGAAATTAAAAAACAAAAAAAAGAATAAAGAAAACGAGCAATTGAGTTGCGCAAATACGTACTTCAGTATTCATAAAATTCAATTCATTGTTTCAAAATAAAATACATATATGTAAAATTAAAATTTGACTTATATATTTACAAATAAAGCAAAAAAGATAACTATGATATAAATAATTTCCAGTACTTAATATTAAAAATTAAAAATTTAAAATTTAAAATTAAAAAAAAAAACCAAACAATAATATCAGATAAAGAAAATACTAAATTGTTAATAATTGTTTGCTTTACTTTAATCAATTTTCTTAATTACAATATTAAAATTCGCATATATTTTAATTATATAAAGTTTTACTCGTCAGTGGGAAATTTTGCAAGTAGAAAGTTTTAATCATTTTATTCAAATAATTTACTTACGCCGTAATATAAAAGAGTTCCAAAGTAAGTTTTCAAACAGAAAACAATACTTGTTAAGTAAATGCCAAAAATTTATAAGAATTTCATATCGGTAAGTTTCTTATCTTACTCAGTTTTCCAATAATAACGAAATTTTCATTTCAGTTTATAATAATTTTGATATAAAAATAGTTTATTTAAAGCACTGTTTACTTCACCGTATCCCATAAGAATCGCGTTCTTTAAGCTTAAATTAATTGATAATTTTATAAGTATTTCGCGTTTTATGTGAAATTTGAAATTTTTATATGTATTATACGTAATTGCAATGAACAGGAATATTATATTCTAAGCTGAATTATATTTAATCGAAACGAATAGAGCTATTATAATTTTTTTTTTTTTCGAAACTAATGGAGATATTATAATTACTTTTGTGGCAATCATAATTGATCTAATAAATGCACTTTTTAAATAAAATGAACATATCGCACTTTTATTAGTTTTATAGAAAAATTTTTAAAATTAAAACTGTCGAATGCATACTATATCTAATATATTATGAGGAAGCACTGCTTAGTATTAAACAATAAATTAATTTTTTAAATAAACAATTATATGGATTTTACTTTGATTCAAAACTGTAACTTGATTGAACTCTTAGATAACAGTAATTGCACACAAATTTCAATATTTTGGACTTTTAATAAATTCATTTAATTAATCTATATTTAAATTTTTATTATTTATTAATAGTTACGATATTTTGAATTTTAAATAATGTGAAAAATTTTATCGAGTATTACAGTTTTTCATTGTTTCCCATAAGATAAAGGATCTAATTTATTCATTGATAATGTCAATCAATTGTTATTCAAATATTTAAATTGTACCTAACATTATACTCTTAGCAATTATCATAAAGTTGGTCAAAATGAACTTATCTCAACGTCATAAAAATATATAGTATTTTCTTAAATGAATTATTGCAATGAAAAGTTTCATCTATTATAAATAATATTTTGTCACAAATATTTATTTATATTTACTTTTTCTAACGATAATATATTTATAAATGATTTATTGATAAAATATCTCGTCACTATAGATAGAAATAAATCTTTCATGTGGATGTTGAGCAATTGGATGAGTCACTCACCGCAAGTAACATTGCATTTGAAATTTCGCTCACTCACTATAAAATCGTCACTTTTCTTGGCCAATGTTTTGTAAAAATCAACGTCCCTATTTATATACCAACGATTGGATATTTCAAAGAGCTGAAAATTTTGCCAGTCTTTTAACGCCATTTAAACTTAATTTGATACATTTAAAAAAATAATGTATTGCCCTTATGTCTCCCCCTACGTCACTTGAAAGGTTAACCCAGCCATTTTCTGTTTGTCTGACTCATACGTTAAATTTGCATGTCACATGCGTGCTACGCCCGTTAAAAGCATGAGCAAAGACGTGAATATAACGACATGAGTGAGAGAAGAGGGCGAACTAGAGAGAGACACAGAGAGAGAGAGAGAGAGAGAGAGAGAGAGAGAGAGAGAAGGATGTATAAAGTCGTAAGGGGATGAGGGAAATCAATCTTCACGGACGAAAGAGCAATAAGCTGGTCACATGCGATGCTGACGGCGCTTCGCTGTCGTCGCGGCGACCAGTTTATGAAATCACTTAATAACCCCGTCGTTTTTCTCTCTTTCTTGGCCATCTTCGTGCCATCTTTGTGCCATCTTTTTCCTTAACCTGTATTTTCACTGACACTTACGCGCATAGGAGAATTCGAGCTTTAATTCAACATATATTGTATCAGCATTGAATGAAATAGGTATTATGATGATATTTAATGGAATTAAAATTTCCTTTAATTATATAATGGATTTACATTGTTTGCCGTATTAATCGGTCGATTTTATCAATTATTTTCCCTTGAGTGTGCGATATTCATTCCAGACACAAGCGAAATTTTTACACGTGCTAAAAGAACGCCTTCGTTGCTGTTATTTCCAATCTAAACGAATTTATTTTTATCTAGAGTGGATGTACTAAATAGTAAATGCAATTATTTAATAACGCAGCTAAATTATAGCAGAGTGTCGAGAATGTAATAATCCAATGTAATAATAAATGAAAAAATAATGTTACTCGAGTAATTGTTATAAACATATGAGGTACTTATGAGAAAAATTTAGGGAGAATATATTTTCGGGTGGGCAAAAATATGCTAGCGTTAGTAATTACAAAATTCCAATTAAACTACTAATACTGTCAATTAAAAAGTTCATCCCATCGTCAAATTATAATTAATTTACAAATTTCATTATTAAGTTTATAAAATTAATTATGTTTCAATGTAAGATTTTAGGGAATAGTTTTATTATGTTATTATATCAACTATTTTACGTACATAACTATTTTACAGATATTTTATAATCCAAGTATATTATAATGTTAAATAATTTTTAAGGTATAAACAAGTATATTATTATATTAATTATAGATTAAATAAAACATCAATAATCATAAGAAGATAGCGGATAATTATTTAGATTGGAAATATTGATAATTATAATAATCTCACTTACATAATAATGTGCTTAAGAATTTCAAGTAGACAAATAAATTAATAATATTTCATATTAATATTATTGTTGAACAATTCTATAAAAATTGTCCAAAATTGATTGCAGCTTAGCATCTTACTGTAATTTTATATTTATCGCTTTAAAAGTAATAAAATTTCTTTGATTATTGTTGTTGATTAAAAAATGTTTTAATTAAGTATTGATAATAAATTATCAAATTTTTACGTTAAAAAGAGATAATGTTGATAAATTAAAAGTTACCAAACCTTTTACAATTCAGAAAAATTCTTACTATCGATTATTATATTATTTTTTGCACTTTCATCAAAAATTATTATATGAAATATGAAATATTTTACTAGGGTTTATTCTACATTTATTAAAAATTTAAATCATTCAATGTAAATTTGTAAATATGTTTATGTAACTTTTATTTTAAAATAAAAAGTTCAGTTATTCCGTTACATAAAATATATGTACGTTGCAAGCATCTCACAAGATACAAGAATTATTCATTTTTAAATAAATAAAATGTAAGCCGTAGTTGAGAAGAACACTATTTAATCGAATAGATATATATTTTTTTATAAAACATTGCATTAGTTTAGTTTCTGATATAATATTTTTGTTTATACATATAGTTCAGTTTTGCTTTAATTAAGCACCACGATTAATTGTTATAACTGTTTGCTTTTCATAATTAACTTATACATGATATAATAACAACAAAATAAAAAAAAAAAAAAAAAAAAATGAAAAATGAAAGTTTTATTATAAAGTTATCATTGATATAATTTAAAGTCAGCTTCTAATGAAATAAATTTTTACATTAATGACCATCAAAGTTAAACAGTTTTTACAAGTTGTGAATGTAATATAAAATAATTAATCACAATTAGTATCACCCATAAAGGCAGCAAAACAAATAAATATTATTCGAATGCATAATTTTTATCGCCATATTCATTTCAAATTGGTATAAAATTGAAAACTATCACATTGCAACAGTGATTATGTTACAATGATTATAAAGCATACTGGAAGCTCATTAATTAGTCATTAATTACTAAGCTTTTTTTAACAGCATAGTCTAACTTTAAATACAATCTAAAAAAAATGTTTCAATGTAAAAATCTGAATTTTCATTATTATTATATCATTTGTACCTATAGGCTATATATATATATATATATATATATATATATATATATCGTTGACTTTGATGGCGGAAACCGCTCATTAGATATTTCATTCATAAAAATTCTAAAAAATTTAAATATCATAACGTTCGCAAGGCATATCATAAAGTATCAAACCAAACTTGCGCATAGACAAATTAAAATTTTAGATAAAAAAAAAAATAGTTTGAAGTTTACACTGACCTTTATATTGGTGACATCAACGAAGCGCAGCTCACTTTCCTCACCATTCAGCATAACAAAGACGGACTGCTCGCTCGGGCCATCTGCAAGTTCACACACGCACAGATAGAGAGCCGTGGCTGAATCGACGGAGGCTGCTGTCGACGTCACGGAGTCGACCCCATGACAGCTTAGATCATCGATGTGTCCGCGGAACGAAGTTACCGGGCTTTTGCGCCTACCAATTCGCCATTCAATCTCGCTCTCCTATTTGCCCAGAGTGCTTTTTATTTCTAAAATTGAGCTCTTTTTCCTACCGCAGGCCTAATTAAGGTTATGAAATTCTCGTGAAACATTGAAATTAACTTTAATAACGGAAAAACTCTTCTTTGCACAGCGTTAAGCAAATTTTGATTATTTCATTAAAAGAGTGAAAAATGCGAATACTACTTTTCATTAATGGACTTTTTCATATTGGAACTAGAGGGATTATTAATGTTATTACCGTATATTTATTTTTATATGGCTCCTATTTCTAATTATGATCCCACTTAATAATATTGTTTCTTTTTTTATTAAAAGTACGGAATACATTGTAATTGTAATTATGCCAGTTTAAAAAGAACTACATCAGTTTAAAAATATTTTCATTTGTTTGTGCGTTGTTAATTTATATTTAAACTTATCCTACTCATTCTAAATTAAATAATTAAGAAATTAGGTTTAAAATGTTTACGCTTATATTAACGTTTTCATTTACTCCGGGTGTAAATATTTCATTTGAAATATCTATTTTAACTTTTAACTTTTAATATTTATTTTAACTGAAAACTTGTGGTTTGAATTTCGAAAAAGGTTTATATTTAAAATATTTAATATTTATTCAGAATACAGCGTAGATAATATTAAAATTCAGCACGTATTTTTAAATTAATAAGCATAATAAGTAAATGATGAAATTATATGCGCCCATTGTCTAAATAACGAATTTCAATAATTTAAATTACAAAACTTAAATGAGTATTTTACAACAATTTATATTTCGGAATACGACTCAATTAATTTCTGAATTATTTTAGTACACTGTATCTGTATTCCATATTTTAAACTTTATAATTAATTATTAACATACTCGATACAATATAGCTTATTACGTTGAAGTTTGGAAAGTATCTATTTCACACCTACGACGAAATATAATTTTTTTCATTTTCAATGAATAGTATAATATTTACCGTTTAATTTTATCAACAATAGTATAATATTTACCGTTTAATTTTATCAAAATTATGAAAAAAATATACCTATTCGTATAATATATGTGCATTTTATTAATTTTATGCCCAAAGAAAATATTAGAAGATTTGAAAAACTTTTTCCCATCGATTTTTACATAAATAACTATACGTTTGATTAAATAACTCACGTAAGCAAAAATTTCATTTCTAGATGCTAAAACTTCTCAATTAAAATTATAAAAACTATGACTAAAGAAAATTTTTTATTTCTAAGAAAGTTTTTATTTCTCTGCAGAATAAAACACAATATTATGCGCAAGGACACGAGTTACGAATATTTCGCTAGGAAATAATTCGTTAACAATAAGAAAACGTGTGATTTAATAAATATTAAGATGTCTTTCTTCTTACATTTTGATAAAATAATTAAAATAGTAATGTATTTGATCAATATCAATGATTTCCATTTCACATTATGTTTTATTATATTGCAAAATATAAGCTCTCATAAGTTTTTACACATATATAGTTTACATGATTTTACAAAAATGATATGAATTTAAATTGATTTTTCGACACTTCAATTTTTTGCAATTAATATGGTATGTAATACATCAACATTTTATTTTTAATTACTTTTTCCTTATTATTCTACATAAGTTGAATACTCGAGCAGTAAAATATATTAATACTTTATGTAACTCTATCAAACGTAACATTTTTAATATTATTTTCAATTATTTGCTTTATAAAATCTATAAAAATAATATTCAGCGTTGCTATTATTATAAAAATATACGTTATTAGTAATATAATATCAATAACGCCTTAAAATTTTTTATATATTATGAAAATATATATATATATATATATATATATATATATATATATATATATATATATATGAATTGAACTTATATATTTTTTTATAATACATTATTGCATACAGAAAATATGTTGCCGTAAATATCGAAATTTAAAAATTTGAATACTCTAATGCTATATATTGATATGAATGAATAAATCTTAATTAATTTTTTCTAATGGTTTAAAAGAGTATTTTTAATAATAATATAAAACTATTTAAGTTAAAATGATTTTGTGAGCTAAAGTATATGAATCTTCATATGTATTTCAATTCTCTTTATATAATATCTATATAATCTTTATATAAAGTTTTTATTTATTTATTCATAATACAGTTAAGAAAAAACAGAAAGTAATATCAATAATGAATTTCAACTATATTTCATATTCTATGATAGATAAAGTTATATACAATTGATGTAGTTTCGTACATTGATGCTTCAGTGTTTGCTTCAAAATACTTTACAACTTCTTTGTTTTTCAAATATCAATATAAAAAACCAAGTAATTTGAGAATTGCTCGCCTATTGAAAAGTTTTTAAAAACTCAAGTATCTTTGAAGCAAATAAAAAATATTATAATAAAATTAATTTTTTTAGAAAGATCTTAATTCAAATGCCTTTTCTCCAATATTAGAAAATATTCTTTAAAATTTTTAATATTTTTTAATACTTTCAATAATTAAAATTTTCATTGGTAATTAAGGTGTTCAGTGAACTATTAATATTTCATTATTAATACTGAATGTCCTATAGTTCGTAAAATATGAATCATTTTAGTTTTTCTATTAACAGCTGAAAAATTATAAAAATTGTAGTTGTTGAATAAATGCGTATTTATTAAATAAATTTACTTCCATTGAAAATATAGCTCTAAACCAATTTATATCAAAAATTTAGATTTGTACATTTTATAATCTTATTCTAGATAGTTTTACATCTTTTTATCAAGCATAATATTAATTTTCATTATATTATTGACTAGATATTAGTTATTGACCTTTTAAATCTTTTTTCAATTGTGTTTGTTAATAATACTTTATCCTTTTTATTCAAATATTATATACTTAAATAATTTATTTTTTATGATACAATTTAAAGTAAATTTATTTTAATTTAATTATTTAATTATATCTGCGTATGTATATATATATATATATATATATATATATGTGTGTGTGTGTATATATATATAAATATGGATGTATAATAAATATTAAATGTAATCTATAGGTAATATAATAAAATAAATAATTTTATTAAATCATGAATGTTATAAAATTTTGGATTTTATTTTAGCAAAGAAAATGATATAAAATTCTGTTGAGTGAAAGCTGAAAAATTATTTAAAATAAGTTATTTAAAAATCAAATTGTAAGCGTAATTTTCATGAAGAAAAATCGCACTATAGTAAAATAATACCATTTTTAAATAAACTTGGGGTTTGAAGAGTTTAATAAATATATCGTATGAATCCAATAAATTTTACTTGAAAGCATTTATAAATTAATAATTCAATTTTATTTGTTGGCTATAATATCTGACCAAAAGTCTTTTTATTATGATACTATACTGACTATACAATACCCTTTATATGTTCTTGCTAACATCCCCTTGTCATTTTATTTATTTTTTTTTTGGAAGTTCTCTTTTTTTTAGGTTTTATAGATTAAATCGAAACGATTTTTTCATTGCAATTAGTTCAACGTATTATTCTTTGTGAAAATGAATAGATTTGAAAACGTATTTTTCTATGTAAAAGCTTTATAATAAAATGAACTTTTAGTGAAATACAGTTTTAATCAAATAGATAGATTTTTGTAATTTTAAATAATACAGTTATAAAAAATCTCAAAGGCTGCGTGGTGATATCGAAAAATATAAATGTTCAAAAATTTTAATACTGAAATATAAATGTATACCTATTAACGTTTTAGTATAGAAGTTTAAAGATTATAATGCAATTACACGGTAATAATTATCTTATTTTAATTTCTTCAATAATGCATTATTTAGTTCCCTCGTGTATAATTTGTACTTTTTTCTCTACAGGTTCACATTTTGACAACTCTCCCTTCTCTTTCATTTGTATCCATTTGGAACTTTATCCCTACTTTCTTTATCTTTTCTCTTTCATTTTCTCTATTTATTTGTTTCAAATAAATATTTCATGATCGTAAAAATATATAAAAATATATTTAATTTATAATTTACTATTCACGTCAATTTTATATTGTTGTTTGTTTTTATTGTTGTGTTTTTACAACCTTTAACCAGTAAATATTATACACTTTCGTTATCAAAATTTCATAATTAATAGTTTTTAAACTCTTATTGCTCTGCCTTTTCAACAGCATTCGATATTTTAATTTGTTTATTTACTTTTTTAAGCTGAAATAAAACTAAGTTAATTTGTTATTGATATTAATTAAATTAACACAAATATTTATATCTTAAAAAATAGTTATATAAAAAATTTGTAAATAATTTATAAACATAAAAATTGTAACTTTTATTAAATTTTTTACACATTAGTATATGTATGTAATGCAATTATTGTAATCCAACAATCCAACAATAAAATTATAAAAAACCATTTTAAGGTAAATAATATAAATGCAACTAATTACAATCGTTTTAAAAAATCATTACTTTTATGTAATATAATCACCTTATATTTTAGTATATTTTTTAAATTAATAAACATATATTTGAGTTAATCACCAGAAATATATTAATAAAAATATATTAATAAATTTGTTAAAGATTTTCACATAAAATCACGTAAAAAACCAGTACTAAAACAAAGAATAATAAAATTATTGAAGAATGTACAAAATGATACAGCCCCAGTGATTTTAAATGAAAATTTTTTATGGTTATATAATTTAAAACTTATTAATTGTCTAATTTAGACCGCTTCATTTATTGAATAGAATTTATTTTCGATGTTAGTCAATGTGCTTTCGTACCATTGATGAATAATAATTGATGAAAGGTAATGTAGAGAAGTTACGGATAATATAACTATGCCATTTTTTATCTTTTATATTTTCGTATATTAGTATCTCATTAGCCATTTTTACCTTTGGTCCATCTAAATAGAGACAGGTAATGTTTATAGAAAAATATCTATGTACATTAGAATCTAAATTCTCTATATAAGTAAAATGTGAATATATAGGTAATTTCGCAGTGCAACTTTTGTCATTTGTCAAAACATTTTCTTTATACTTCCCTCATTTTATACCAACTTTATTGTATATATATATATATATATATATATATATATATATATGAATATATATAATATACGAACGCCTATACGAACCGGAATATATTTCTAAATAATAATGTTCTGGCACAATTTTATCATCTAAATTATAAGATTTATATATTTCATTATTCATGAAGTAGATCCGCATATACTCGCATAACGAATGTTAATAATATAATAGTTTTTTATTTGATAAATTATTCTGGTCTATCCTATGCCACGTACATAGTAAAAAGTTGATTAAAAACCTTAGCCAACACCGAATTATTAAAACTTGTAAATCTTATCTTTCCAATTACAATTAAAAGCTAACTGCAAAGATTTTTTTATTACTTTTGTGTATATTCTTTATGAGTACATCAATATCAGTAGAATTTTGATAAAAATTTACTGGTACAAAGAAAAAATATAATGATACCAATCAAGGTGATATATTTTCTTATAACTCTATACCTATGAAAATGACTAAAATAAAAAATAACAACAATTACTTGTCTTTTATATAAAATACAAAATTGATGTATAATAAAAATATAAATTAAATCGACAATATATTGTGATTAAAATTCCTTATATTGATGAACATTTTACTTTATTTTCAATGACAAAGAAGGAAGACTGTTATCCTAGAACTTTTTAAATTACAAAAATTAAGGCGTCATTTTACATTCTTGTTATATTAAAAATGTTAATACCTATGATCCGAAATTTTTGTAAACCTAATGTTTATGTGATCTGTTATGAAATAGATGACAAATTATATAATTTTTAAAATTGAGAAATTAAAGGCTAATTATCCTGTAGAATTTTTATAAAATATAAAAATATTAAAATCTTCAATCGATAAAATAAAAAATTTTGAATCGAGTTTGCAACCATTGCTTGCACGTATGTTGATTCATCCATGTTACAAATTTTTCTGAAAAACGATCCTAACATATTAGCTGTGAATGAAATAAATTGATGTAGTAAATGTAGCTATCATTAAAGTAACAATTTAATCACTCGTTTGAAATGAAAATAAAATCGACGTCCTCGTTTCATTATACTTCAAAGACATCCACCTCGAGCGATCGAGCTAACATTCAACGATAATTATCATAAAGGGCAATTAACAATTCGTTTAGATATCCGAATCTCTTGTGAAAAAGGTAAAAAGGACGGACAATATAAGCAGACAATGGGAGATCCACGGGTATGAAGCTAAGGAATTTTCATCGAGGACAGTGGGGGCTAATAGGTGGGCTGATGCTATTCCGTACAAACGGCGCTCACCTCGTTGACGCACGTGTTCGTAAGCATTGATCCCTTCACTTGACATGAACTGGCTGACAAGGGCGGACTTGCCGACGCCCCGCGCCCCAAGCACCGCCACATTGTACGAGGCCACGTCCTTGGGCGGCGAGGACTTGCTGATCTCCTCCGGCTCGCCCTCAGCCGGGGCCAGGGAATTCGATCTCGAGCGCTTCTTCCGAAAGGAGTCGCCTCGATTTATTACTCCTGCAAATAAATTGGATATTAATTTTCATCTTCTTTTTGATTGCGTGGGAAATATCGTGGGAGGTTTTTTCTTTTCACTCTACCGTCGACTTTTCTGCTGAGATTTTCATAAATGGAATAATTAGACTTTTAATTATTCCCTAACGAGAATAAACATTACCCGACGCTTATTCGGATTATAGCGCCAAGTATTTTTCATATCTATTAATCACGAAATATAAGCTTTTTATGCTATTTGCTCACAATAAAAATATAATGTTGAAAAATATAGTGTGTAGGTTGAAAAATGAAAATTATATTTTACTAAGATAATATTCAATACTCGAATTCCAAGAGTTTGATTTTATATTTTGGTTTCTTTTCATTTGAGTATATTAGCAAACAATTATGTTTCTTTAATCCTGAAATAAAATACATAATTTTATTATTATATATAATTTATTTAAAAATAAGATATTACGATCGACTCTAGTGCTGTTTCTCTCTCTCTCTCTCTCTCTCTCTCTCTCTCTCTCTCTCTCTCTCTCTCTCTCTGTATATATATAATAAAAACTAAAATACACTATTTGACATTCAATATTATTTTCTCTTACTCGTCGATTGTCGACTATCGTCAATTAATTTGTCAATTATATCGCTTATCATATGTCAAATGAAGAATGATTTGTTAAGTATTAATTAAGTATAATTAAGTATAAATTAACCATATTAATTAACCATATTAATTAACCATATTATATTATTATATTAATATAAATTAACCATATTAATTAAGTATAAACTTCAATAGACGCTTTATAATAATTTAGATACTCTGAATAATTGTAACAATATCAAGATAACATTTTGGCGACATACATTCTAAGTTATTTTATAAAAAATCAGATAAGTGTTTTTTTTTTAAATTTTTTAAAATTTTAAATTTGTAAAAAATTTTTAAATCTATTTAATGTTGTAGACATTTAAGAAGTGGACATAATATTAGATAATTGTATTTTATATATAGCACATATTACCTTCTTTGCATAACCGTTACATTAAAATAACATTAAAAACAACCTGAACTAACACACTTATGCGTTGGTAATATTTTGACATTACTATCTTACATATATTCGCATATTTTGTATCTCTTCACATTTTTAGATAACAGAGTATCATTGGGACCAAAGAGATGTCAAATATCGTATTTTCAGATAGTGATGTGCATTACAAAGGAAAAGAGGGAAAGGCAATGAAGAAAGAGAGAGAGAGAGAGAAATGAAGTAAATTCCGTATTACAATCAGTACACAGTCAATAAAATGTCGAGACTAAAGTGAAGGTTACACTTTATAAATTCTATTTGTTGCATTATTCTATCTTATCACTAATAAATCTTTTGTGATTGTTTAATCAAGCCTTAATATTTTTTTTTTTTACTTCTTATATAATATGTTCAATTATTGTATGGATTCTTATGAATCAAGCTCGAAGTAATAAATACCACTTAAATATCTAAACAATATTCATATTTCGTCATAATATTTTGGTTTCAATTTTCGATATTCGCTCCGGTTTTAATTTCATTAGAATATCGTATGTATTTATAATACTTCTGAAAATCCAACCTAAATCTCCTGAATTCTAGATGGATATGAATTCTAAAATCAACAATATTATCAATATCATACTGATCAATATTTTATCTCTAAAAGAAGAAAAATAGAATTATACAAATACCAACTAATGTACATTTTCGGAGAGAAAAAATGAATAATTTTTTAATATATATATATATATATATATATATATATATATATATATATATATATATATATAGTTATTTATATTGGAACAACATTTATATTCGACTATCACAAATGTTTGTTATTTCACTGATGAAAACTTAATATGCTTCTTTCATGAAATATTTTTATTTCATATATTTCTATATAAAAATTTATAAAAGCTTTTCTTTCGCTAAACATTATATTACAGATTATGAATATAATAAAAATATATAAAGTAACAAACAGTATTATAAGGTATCTAAATTATATTACTATTGTCGTTATGAAAACAGACTTAATTTTTAAAATAATCTATTTGACTATGTAATATACATTTTGTAAGCTCATTTTTAATACTTACGTATTTAATTATAAGATCAATGATTTTGTTATAGTTTTATTTTTATTTAAAATCAGTTTTCATTAATTTCCAATAAAATTATATGTTTGATAATAAATATTGTCTCCTACTTTATAAAATAGTTTCAGTTAAAAAAAAAAGAAAAAAAAAATTACATAAATAGATACAACGAAAATAAAGTGGTATTTTAAAAAACATAAAGAAGAAAATTGATCAGCAAATTTACAACTTGTAGTATGCATGAATCATTTAACATCTAAATATAGCAAATGTAGCTTGTACTTACCGTTGATTTATTCTCCAATTTACTGTATAATATTTTTAAATTATATGATTTTCATCGAAATTTATTAATTATTTTTTAATTCTATTAACTTTTAATTCACTATTAACTTCGTGAGAATTTAATTTAACATAGTATAATTCACAATTACAATATTACGTTCAACATAATATAACATTATACACGTGTATATGTGTCAGATGCGAATTAAAAAGAATTAAATTTGTACACTTTTTCCCGAATCGTTATTGAACGTATATTATTATAGAAACCGAAGGTAGAAAAAATATCCGAGAATTATTTCCATAAAGATTCAACAACTTTCATAAATAAAATTATTATTTTACATTACCATCACATTACGAACGTTACGCATAAGTGTTGACTTATAAGTACCTAAAATACTATTGATTACACATAATCATAATATTCAATGTTATACATTTTAAAAATATTTTATCGGTTTAAATATTGTATTATTTAATCAGTCTTCTATTTTTATTTGCATATAATTTTATACTATATATATTATCGGGAACTTATCGGTAAAATCAATGATCGAATTTCACATTGTATATACATTTAGATTATTTATAAGGTATATTTTATTAAAATAATATTTAAACAAACGAAAGTTATGCATAGTTTTATAATCATATAAAATCAAATAAATGATATTATTTTATGCGATATTTTGAATATTTAAATGTTAATATACTACGAATTTTGACTTATATATTATTTTTAGTGCTCAACAAACACATAATTCGTATTTTCAGGTTTACGTTATTTCTTAATTCTTAAGTAAATAAATTAATTTTAAAGAGCCATTCATATCAGTAAAAATTGACTTTTACAACCATCTGCTTTCACGGGAATAGTTTTATGGTTGATTGAATTATGTTTACTGTATTTACATATTTATCCAATGAATGGAATTTATCTTCAATGCTATAAAAAAAAAAAAAAAAAAAAAAAAAAAAAAAAAAACAGCACGTCATCAAGTCCATATTTGATCTGTTATAAAATAAGGATATAACTATTTACAGGATCATCTAGCGAAGATATAATTATTATATCTATATTTAATCTATATTTAAAAAAAAAATAACGATAATAATCCTTGTTGTGATATTTTTGCAGCTCTCAACTATAAAATATTATTATATTTCGAAATACGTTTACACATATGTTATATAAAATAATTAAATTATTATTTATATTTATAAAATATTAAAGCTATAACTTATTACGAGGGAAATAAAAAATAGCCAATAAATCTATAGTAATAATAATGTCTAATATAATAAACTTCTAAATTAGTTAATTTGTAAGTTATCATAATTATAGTAATATGTAACTAATATTAACAAACTTATTTTCTAGAACAAATGGAACTCGACATCATTTTAGAATATCAACCTGCTATAATATAAAATACCCAATATGTATGCGGGAGAAAAGAAAACTCAATGTTTTTTTTTTTACAGTCGTGTAACTTGTTAGATTATTTTATAATAAAATTCATGCTTTACCCATAAAAATAAATGTATTATAATACATAAGATATTAGAATTTCTTT